CACACACACACACACACACACACACACACGCACACAGTCGATCAATCAATCAATCAATCAATTCGATTGATAAATTCATTGATTGATTGAGTGATTTTTCGTTTTCTGTTTGGAAAAATCAGGTGGGTATCGACCCGTTCTCGTGTTTTGTTTTCCTTTTAAATCAATCACACACACACACACACACACACACACACACACATTCGATCAATCAATCAATCAATTCGATTGGTAAATTTATTGATTGATTGACAGATTTTTCGAACCGTCGGGTATCGGCCTGTTCTCGTTTTTTGTTTTTGTTTTCAATTGATTAATTGTTTGATTGGGGAAAAAGAAGAAAAAGGCAGCTCGGGGGAAAACCCGGAAGGAGGAGCGGGAGGAGGAGGAGGAGGAGGGAGGAGGATGAAGTTGTGGTGGAGGAGCAGCGGGAGGTCAGAGTGTCTCTCTCTCTCTCTCTCACACACACACACACACACACACACACACACACACACATACACACACACACACACACTCAATCAATCAATCAATCAATCAATAAATTCGATTGATAAATTGATTGATTGATTGAGTGATTTTTCGTTTTCTGTTTGGAAAAATTGGGCAGGTATCGGCCCATTCTCGTGTTTTGTTTTTGTTTTCAATCAATCAATCAATCAATCAATCAATCAATCAATCAATCAACCAATCGATTAATTGATTGATTGACGGAGTGGGAAAAAAAAGAAAAAGACGGCGGGAGGACCAGGACAACGAACGCATGGAAGAATGGGAGGAGGCCCAGGAGGAGGAGCAGGAGAAGGAGGAGGGGGGGACGAGAAGCAGGATGAGGGGCGGGAGAAGGAACGGGAGAAGGAGCGGGAGGAGCGGGAGGAGGGGGAGGACGGAGGGGGAGGAGGAGCGGGAGGAGGAGTGGGAGGAGGAGCGCTAGGAGGAGCACTAGGAGGAGGAGGAGGAGCGGGAGGAGCAAGACAAGGAGCAGGAGGAGGAGCATGACAAGGAGCAGGAGGAGGAGCACAACAAGGAGCGGCAAAAATCGGGGAGGAGGAATTAACAAACGCGTGGGATGCAGGTGGGAAAAGCAGGAGGAGGGAAGGGAGGAGAGGGGTGGGTCTGAGGAGGGGTGGACGAACGCTCTCTCTCTCTCTCTCTCTCTCTCTCTCTCTCTCTCTCTCTCTCTCTCTCTCTCTCTCTCTCTCTCTCTCTCTCTCTCTCTCTCTCTCTCTCTCTCTCTCTCTCTCTCTCACGCACGGCGCTCTCTCTCACACACACCTGTCGGCGAGTGCGGAATCGGGCCAAGCGGGTGGGGGGAAGAAAGGGCGGGGACGACTGAGAGGGCGGAAGGCCGTAGAGTCGCGTTCACACTCTTTCTCCCGCCTCCCACTTTCTCTCTGCCTCCAACGCCTTTTCCTTGCCCTCTTTCCCCTCCCCCCCTTCCCCATCGCCGCAGCGTCATTGCGGCGGGTCCACTTGTATATTTAATATGTATAATATCTAGGTTGTTTTTTCGGGCGCCGAGGCACCCAGCTTGTGCCCGAATACACGCGCGGGTGCCCGGCCGGGCATGACCCCCGGGCAGGGTTCCGGGCAGCCCCAGCGCTGAAAAAAAAAAAAAAAAAAAAAAAAAATTGAAAAAACTCCAGAAGAAAAGTATGTTGTGTAGAATTGAAATATAACCAACTTTGGCTGAGGGTCACATCAGAAATCTTCACCCAATCGGAGATAAAAGAGAAAGTAACAAAATCCCACTAAAGAACCCCCCTTTAACCCCTCTTAACCCCTTTAAAAACAATTTTTAACCCCCTTTTCCCCCCTTTACAGCCAACTCTCAAAAAATGAAACGAGCCCGGATTTGGGGTCCTCTGGGAGAGCCTAGAAAGGCGGAATTTTTTTTGTTTTTTTTTGCGCGCCTGGGTGCCCGGCTGTGCAGGCCCGGCCGGGCATGAATAACTTCCTAGTATAATATCATATTCTATACTTTGGTTCCATTTCAGTTCATGGATTATGACTAGGCCGCGCCAACCTAGGGGCACGCCCAGCCTTTGCCTATTTCTCCCTCAGAAATAAAGCAAAGATCTGGATTCCCGCAACTTAGAGTGGGCCCAACTCTTTTCAATGAATAAAGAAAGCAGGGATTTTGGACCACCTAACTTAGGGTCAGGCCCGTCCTCCATTCATAAACCCCCAAAAGAAACAAGCGACTGGACTGTCTAACTTAGGATAAGCCCAACCTATTAAAACCAAGCAGACAGTCTTGCAAGTTAGAAAGAAACATAACACTGGACCACTCAACTTAGGGACTACGCCCAGCCTTTGGTTTACCTAGTCAGATGCAAGAAAAATCATCTCTTTGTCCCTTTTGCCAACCTTGCCCCGTTGGTTTTCTCTGCTTTCAGACAAACATATGAAAGTTCACACATACTTAATTGATTCTCATATTAAATCCTGAAATAAACTTTATAATAAGTAAGTAATTCAGCCATACTTCAGACAACTAGAAGGTTTTACGGCTAGGGGAGTACGGGATCACACGCGTAATACGTCGGTGTACATGAGTGTTCCCTCCCTCCAGAACCCCGCCTGGGCTCCGGCCGAGCTCCCACAATCGGTGGGTCAACCCCCCACAGGGCCTTGATGTGGTCTTGTGGGTTGCAATCCCACCTGCCACCTTCCTCTCCTGAACGTCAGACTAGACTGAGACTAAGCAGGGTAGAGAAAGCTAGGTCATTCTCTCAAGATACAAGGAGGGATCAATTCTGACTCGCGTGGAGAGGGCCTTGTTGCCTTCACGTCGAGCCCCGCTGTGAGGAAAACCCGGGGAGGGAAGCCCACTGTTCGCTGAATCCAAGGGCTACAATGCCTGTCACTTGCTGTGCCCACTTCCGAGGTCCTCAGCGACCAGTAGGGTGTTCCTTTTGCTCTTCCTGTCACCCAATTACTCGTCTAACCTAGTTTAAAAGTGCATCAATGCTAACATTTTTTAGCAATGAATTTAAAAGGGGAAGCGAGAAGCAGCGATCATGGAGTACCGGAGGTATTTACCGGGAACAATAAGAGTGCCCAGTTTACTGAACATGATGTTTAACGACTTTTGCCGCACAAAAGAGAAGGGTAAGTTCACAGTTAGCGAATGGGACAAGGAGGCTGGAGGAATCAATCAGAACCTGTTATGGCCTGAAACCCCAGAGCATAAGTTCTTAGTTGTCCTCTCTTCTCTACTTTCGTTTACGAGTTCCTCAAAAGTGCCTTTGTTAGTCACTGACACGACTTATGTAAAATTTTCCTTCCTTCGAGACCGGTCCTTGGGTACGATCAGGAAGGCTCCTCGCAGGAGCAACTCACGGAGAACCAAAGCCGTTCAAGTGTTTGCAGCGAGTGGCTGATGCTCCATCTGACCAGTCACGTACTTCGTATGGTACTTGTAACCCCCTCATTCATCAATTTTTTTTGGCTTCTCCTATTCAAAGCTCGTCAAGCGATCGCCGATAATATAGCACTAGGACAAACAGCCTTCGCCTCACTGATTATGGAGTGTGTTCGAAACAAACCATCAAACAGTACCGCTATCCCGAACCAGCAATTAAACCCGGCGGTCAAAACCGACTGTGAATAAGGCCAGCTGTCAGCACTAGTGAATATATCGAGCTTTCAGAACCCGTGATCAGAACTACCGACTAGAACCAACAAATAATACCGGCGAACACAACCGGTGGGCTAATCCAGCAAACTGAACCAGCAATTGAGATGAGCGGATAATACCCATGAACACAGAGCGGAGCCACTGGGATAAATCAGAGAACTGACACAGCGATTGAGATGAGCGAATAATACCCGTGATCAGATCCACTGAAGTAAACCAGCGAACTGAACCACTAGTTGACGAGCGAATGATACCCACAAACATGGGCACTGAAGTAAACCAGCGAACTGAACCACTAATTGAGACGACCGAATAATACCCGCAAACAGGGCCACTGAGGTAAACCAGCGAACCGAACCACTGATAGAGATGGGCGAATAATACGCACGAACAGAGAATAGAACCCCTGAAGTAGAGCAGCGAACTGAACCACTAGGTAAACCAGCAAACTAACCTAACAATCGAGATGAGAGAATAACACCCGCGAACGGAGAACAGAACCCCTGAAGTAAACCAGCGAACTGACCCAGCGATTGAGATGAGTGAATAACGCGCGCGAACAAAGAACAAAGCCCTTGAAGTAAACCAGTGAACTGAACCACTGGGTAAACCAGCGAACTGACCCAGCGATTAAGATGAGCAAATAACGCGCGCGAACAGAGAGCAGAACTCCTAAGTAAACCAGTGAACTGAACCACTGGGTAAACCAGCTAACTGACCCGACGATTGATATGAATGAATAACACGCAGAGAACAAAACCCCTGAAGTAAACCAGTGAAATGAACCACTGGGTAAACCAGCAAAGTGATCCAACGATTGAGATGAGTGAATAACACTCACGAACAGAGAACAAAACCCCTGAAGTAAAGCAGCGATCTGAACCATTGGGTAAACCAGTGAACTGACTCAGCGATTGAGATGAGCGAATAACGTGCACGAACAGAGAGAAGAACCTGTGAAGTAAACCAGCGAACTGAACCACTGGGTAAACCAGCGAACTTACCCAGCGATTGAGATGAGTGAATAACACGCGCGAACAAAGAACATAACCCTTGGAGCAAACCAGCGAACTGAACCACTGGGTGAGACGAGCGAATAATACCCGCAAACAGGGCCACTGAAGAAAACCAGTGATCTGAACCACTGACTGAGATGAGCGAGTAACACGCGCGAACAAAGAACGACGCACGCTTGTCTCTTGATGCTTTTCGTTCGCCTCGCCTCCCCGACATCAGTCCCTCAAGCGCTCGTACGTGTTTGCTCCCAACGGAAAACTTCGCTTGCTGGGTACTCTTAGCGGCTCCCGCCTTCAAGGACCAATCAAGCATTGCTTAGCGATCACCCTTTTCCGAGCATTCGAGCACACCCACTGCAGGGAAAATTTCAGCTCCCCGCACTCCGTATAGTCCCCTTCTCCTCTCACACCTCTCTTTCTTGGTCTTCTCTCTTCTCTCTCTCATCCCTCTTACCCACTTTCGCTCTCTCACATATCTGGCTATCCCCGTTTGCCCTTGCAACCGCCTGCACGATTGAGCTAGCTCTTCTCTTCCCCACGATATTACCTCGCTGGCTGCGGTCG